GAAGTGTCTGTTCATATCCTGTGCCCATTTTTCAATTGGATTATTTACCTTTATCTTGTTGTGGTGCTCAAGTATTTTATAAATTCTAGATATAAGTCTTTTATCTGACATGTCATTAGCAAATTACTTTTTTCCCAGTCTGTGGCTTCTCTTTTTACCCTGTTAGAGAAGTTTTTGGATTGTTTTGGATTGTGCATAGGGGTTTGATTCTTAGATGGTCTCATTCATCTATTTTATCTTCTTCCGGTTGTAGGCAGTGCAGTGTTCTTAGAAGATGACTCCTATTGCTCTGGCTACCAGTACTGCCTCTTGACAGCTGACCATAGAGCTTCTGCATGTGGCCATTGATCTTACCCTGTATCTATTTACTGTGAAATGATAAGCATCAGGAGAACCTCAAATTCAATTGCCTAAAACCCAATTTAGCCTCTTTTTCTCAAAACCCATTTATTGTTCTCATGAAACTCTCCCAGAGTACGTTCATTGAGTTGATTTCTACTCAGGGTGACCTACCATGTTCCAAGGCTAGAAGTCTCAATAAGAGCCAACTGCCTCATAATTTTCCTCAAACCACCGACCTTTCAGTGAAAAGCCGAATGTGCTAACCAATTGTGTCACAGAGACCAGATATGATTTTCTTATGAAATGACTAGTGGATTCAAATTACCAGTCTTTTGGTAAGCATCCTAACATAACCAACAGCCATCTCTCTAAATCAGAAATGGTTAAAGATTGGTTAAAGATTGATGAGTTCTTTAGGAAATGGATGAAACTATTTCTTTCCCTCTCAAAGGTAAAGGAAGATCAAAACAAACCCACTGTTGTGAAGTTGATTCTATCAAGAACCTCTTTAAAGTACTAGAGAGCAAGGATATTAGTTTAAAGAATAGGTGTGCCTGCCCCAACCCATGGTATTTTCAGGTGCTTCGTCTGCGTGCGAAAGTTGGACAGTGAAGACCAAAGAAGAATCAATGCCTTTGAATTGTGGAGTAGGAGAAGAGTACAGAATATCCCATGGACAGCTAATAGAACAAACCAACTTCTGTTAGAGGAAGTGAGGCTGAAGAGGCAAGGATGGTAAAACTTTGTCTCAAATACTTGTACTTGTCAGGAGGGACTAGACATTGGAAAAAGACCTCATTCTGGGAAAGATGGAGAGTCTCAGAAAGAAAGGAAGTCCCTTAGCATAATGGAGTGACATAACCTGTAAAGAGCAGATCCAGTGTGGTAGTCACCACATCTAACTTCTACTCGCTTCATAAAGGGAAACTGTCCCCATCAATAAAATCTGTAGTACCAGACAGGTAGCTTTATGGTCAGACATGTCATACCACATGCTCCTGCACCTATTTCTACCAATCATTGGGTCAAATGTTTGTTGTAACTTGATTTACTGTTTATTATATTTATTAAGGAAGTAGTTTGAAGAGTGAGGGAAACCAAAAATATCACACAGTGCAAGTCTAAATTTAGTCTAGCAGTCCCACACCAGATTGACAAAATATAGTTGCTCAAATAAGGAAAATTCAGGTTCAGTTCAGTAGCACAAATGCACCTGTGGTTTCCTCAGTCTTCTAGCAAACTTTTTAACAGAGCAGTTACAAATCAGCTTTTTCTTCTGTCATTCAGCAAGCAAAACCTTTAACGGGGGCTCCATCTCCAGGGTTCTTTAGGTTACACCTTGCCACAGTCTCTTCAAAGCAGTGCCACAGTCTCTTCACTTTCCCCCCACCATTGTTTTTCACAGTGTGGAAAGTGTTGTCCTATGTTGATCACATTGCTGTTGATAATTTGTAAGACTATATGTCCACAGGTAATGTAGCTGGTGACCAGGCCTTCAATGGGGGCTGACAGAGTGGGTAGAAAAGCCAGTTTTCAAGGTTTTGGACACCACACACAGTGATTGTACAATGAACTTGAACATGGTAGAGACTGTGAGGATGGCACACAATTTTGTGAGGATGGCAAGATTTTGATTTGTTGTTCATAGGTGTGCTCTGAGTTAGAGTTGACTTGGTGGCACCTAAAAACAACAATACAGTGACCTTGTAGGACAGAATAGAACTGCCTTGTAGAGTTTCCAAGGATGTGAATTCTTCTAGCAGCAGGGAGTCACATCTTTCTTACATGGAGTGACTGGTAGTTTCAAGCCATTGACTATTTGGAAAGCAGCTGAGTACATTAAATAAAAGGCTTCCAGAACTCCTCAAGAAAAAGGAAGAAATAAAAAGGTATGATACTTACTCATCTTGAACTTGGCTGACCTTCAAAATTCTTCTTAATTCACTGCCATTGACAGATATTGCCAATGTTGATCCATGAGGTTAAATGTAATGTTATGATGTATATTTTACAGGAATTTCCATAGAAATTCTGATAGAAACCATAACAGGTAGCACCTTGTTTAGTGAGCAGAGGAAAGCAGTTGATTAGACAGGGAAGAAGGCAAGACCAGGAAGGTCAGGCACATTGGGAGAGGGTTGTGCCACAGGAGATGATGGGTCAAATGAGACACTTCTAAAGTATCTGTGAACAACAGGCAGGCTTATGCTAACGTCTTCACCTTTTCTCACCTCTCTTGCTACAGGTTACGCTACAAAGGATATTTTGGGGGTGTTACTGCCCTAACCAGAGAGCAATTTTTCAAGGTGAATGGATTCTCTAACAACTACTGGGGATGGGGAGGCGAAGACGATGACCTCAGACTCAGGTGAACAACTGAGAAAGTTCCCCTTCATGGGGCTCTGCTGTCGTGGTGGCTCTGGAAACTTCCATTTATGTGTAGTTCTTGTAGATGCCAGTTGTGAGGCTTTGAAGGTGGCAAGGGGTGGGAGGGAGGTCAGCAGGGTCAAAATTACTGCTTGCCAGGAGCAACTTAGAAGTGACAGGAGATGTTCTTTTCCTGGTTTGTGGGTGTTTGGAGTGAAAAATGTGGAAGGAGGACTCTATGGAGTTGTCAGTGAGTATTAGTTATTCAAACATGGTCTCACCAGTGAATTAAAAGCCCCGAACTTCATGCAGCATTTTGGGAAAGTAGCCAGAAGAATGATGCTCTCCTTTCCTAGGGACTGGCCCTCCTGAGAATGTGCCCAAAATTTGTAGGATGAAGTCTCATCATCTTTGCTTCTAAAGACTGCTCTGGTTTTCCTTCTCCCAAGAGACAAATTGGCTTGATTGTTTTTGTTTGGTTTTTTTTTTTTTTCAGTCCATGATATATACATTATTTTTGACCAAAACCACAGGTCAAAAGCATCAGTTCCTCACTCTTATTCAGTGTCCCAACTTTCACAAGCATATGAAGCAATTGAAAATACCATAGCTTGGGTCAGTCATACCCAGTCTTTAAAGTATAGCATTAATGAAAGAGAGGAAGACCTTCAAGGAGATTGATTTACACAGGGGTTGAAACATTGGCCTTAAGTGCAGCAGAGTGTGTGAGGATGGTGTTAGGATCATCGAAGGTTTCACTCTGTTGTAGAGTGGCTGTGAGTTGGAGCTGACTCCATGGCCCCTAACACGAGTAATCTGGAAGGCTTATTATAGGCCTTGTGCTGAGACACCCAGGGTCTGCTGGCCTGAATCTGGTTCAGATCTGGGAATCTCAGTATCCTCTGAGGAGCTGCACACCCAGGAAAGGCTCAGCTGTCTCCATCTTCTTGTGCCTGAGGTAGACCTACATACTATGGGAGCCATGGCTGGCTTGAGTCCCAGGCCTGACATGGGGCTGCTGGCTTCCCCCCGCCCCTCCCCCAGCTGTTTGTATGCTACATTCTGCTCTAGGGGACTCAATGCGAATCAGTCTGTCCTCCTTCTGTGGTGTCATTCCTGGAACTTGAAATTTTATTGTCAAATAATTTTAGGATTTCCTTATTTGGAAGAACTAAGTAATTACACAAGAGCCTGTGTCCCACATCTTCAGATTTGTAATCACGTGGTCTTTCTAAATGTTAGAAGACCTCCTTCCTTTCTGCTGTTACCTCTTGGAAAGGAAGTTCCTAAGCTGGGGCTCTGAGTTAACAGATGTGTAACTGTCAAGAGATTTTCCATTACTTGAAGAGACCAAGACTAGTCTTGCCCCATGTCTAGGCTGAGAGTCTCTGGACTGTTTTTGGCAGGAGGGAATGGATTGGCTTTACCATGGTCTCCACAAGAATAACTATAGTGATGGGCAGAAGTCTTCAGTCCAACCCATCAGTAGTTTATATGGCTGTGGCTTTTGAACTGGACCGAGTACATCTTCAGTGCAGGTGTAACCAGGGCTAGTGGTAACCAATTCCCATCCAGTTTCTGAAATGCATTTCACTGCCCAGCTGGGATGATTAGTAGAAAATTGCCTTGATCATGCCTCGTCTCTTTTATTCCTGCTGCCCATTACCTTCAAAGTAGGGATTGAGGGAGCACCAAGGTCTTTTGATAGGAACGTCATGGTCCCTAGAGCAGTTCTCAACAAATGTCATAATAAACAAAAATTATTGAAATGTAAACATTGATTACTGTTTAGTTACTATATATGGTGAGTATAGCAGGTACCACTGTACAATTAGATAGTTTCCAAGTTCCATGTGAATTGATCTCATTCAAGCCTTTCAGATTGGCTGCATTTCATCTTTGCCATTTTACAGATGAGGAAACTGAGCCTTGGAGCAGTGAATTGACTTAGCCAGGTAGTAAGTAATAATACAGATTTGAACCTAGGTTTTTGATTCTTAAAGGGTAATTTCTCTCTTTGTTTGAAGATAACTCGAACTTACTATTAGAAGTCCAAAGATAATTGGCTCTACTCCTTTTCAGGATGTTTAACAATAAGTTCTGTCTGAGCATTTCTGTAAAATGACTAATTAGAAATTGACATATCGCCTGGGTTCCCCAGTATCCATTGGCATGACTTCATTCTAACGCATATGGACACAGTAGGACAGAGTAGAAGTGCCCACAGGATTTCCAAGACTCAATCTTTATTGTCAAGCTTTTCTCCTGTGGAATGACTGGTAGGTTCAAACCAACAACTTCTCAGTTGGCTGCCATTGCTCTAACTACTGTACTACCAGATGTCCTTTTGTACCTGAGTCAATCCCAGAACTCACTGCCCTTGGGTTGGCTCCCGCTCATCATGGCTGTCCATTGGGATTCTGAGGCCGCATGTCTACAGGAAGAGGTGGCTTGTCTTTCTCCTGTGGAGTGGCTGGAAGATTTGAACTGCTAACCATCTACTAGTCGTTAATGTGTGCTGTTGGGTCAGAACTGACCCATAGCTTACCCCCAGTAGGTTTCCAGAGGCCTTTAAGCACACAGGAGGAGATTGCCCATAACTTTCGCATGGAGCTGCTGGTGGATTTGAACTGTGTATCTTCAGGATTGCAGCACAGCTTCTTACCTTTATATTTCTAGGGATTCTTTGTGTACTCTAGTAGTAAATGTTAAATGTCACTCTTTTTTGGGTTTAGTGTTTGAGGTCCCACTGCTAGAGGAGAATTTATAATTTTATAAGTTTCTCTTCTTTTTAGGATGAATTTTTAAAAAATATATTTCTTATTTTTCTAGAGTCGAACTTCATAGAATGAGAATAATCCGGCCGTTACCAGAAGTGGGAAAATACACAATGATCTTCCACACTAGAGACAGAGGAAATGAAGTAAATATAGAAAGGTGAGCTGAGCAATTATCTGTATACTCACGCTGAATTTGATTAGGTAAGCCAGTTCATTTTGCTAAACATATTTTTAAGGAAATTTTCACCTTAACATAAAAGTCGAGAAAATGGTTTATTGAACCTCATGTACCTATAACCTAGAATTAAAAAATCACCAACTCTTGGCTGCTCCCTTCTCCCAGCATTTTTTAACCCCCCAACCCCTGCCATCCCAACTCCAACTTCTCTTCTTGCTTTGCTTGGAGTACACTTTTTCCTCATCATTTTCATGCAGTGAACTTCTGTGTTAAGCCTCAGCCATATTACCCTCTCTGGCACCTCTCCCCAGACTCTCTCATCCAATTAGGTGCCACTTCACCCACCTTCTTATCCTAATACAGTCTTAACTTTTTTCGAGGCTCTTGTGAAAAATCTGTAATCTTTTGCTAACAACATTGAGTAATTTAGAGATTCTCTGAAACTTAGGCAAGTGTTGGTTTAGCAGTGGGACACACGCACACACACACACAGCCACACCCTGTAAGTATACTTTAATGCTTCTCAAATTGGGAGCTCACAGAAGACAGAGACTTTTCATCATTGGTCCCCAGGATTTTACCTGGGGTCTGACACTATGAGTCTTGAAATGAACACATGGCTAACATTGTTCTTTGTTAGATGGGGAAACCCAATTTTCCTTGTAGTAGGAAACTCAGCACCCCTTCCCCTTAATGCCCAAACAACCTCCAACCTAAAATAAAAAAAGAAATCACTGTCATTGAATTCATTCCCATTCCAGGCCACCCTCCCCTGTTTCTAAGGCTGAAAATCTTCATGGTAGCAGATTGTCTCATCTTTTGAATTGCTGACCTTTTAATTAACAGCCCAACACTTAACCTATTACTCCACACATATACAATAATTAACAAGGATGCATTTTCCAAATGTTGAGGCTAATCAAAAGGCAGTACATTAAATTCTTATTTTATCATTCACTCTTTTTTTTTTTATTATAGGATGAAGCTCTTAAATCAAGTGCCACGAGTTTGGAGAACAGATGGGTTGACAAGTTGCTCTTATAAATTACTGTCTGTGCAGCATAATCCTTTATATATCAACATCACAGTGGATTTCTGGTCTGATCCATGACATGGGATCTTTTGATGGTGCTCAGAAGAATGGAATATTTGATTGCAATAATTTTACTTAGAGACATCCCCGAGTAGCACCCATTAAGGACTTGCTGCAGTTAATTGTTGGACTGTTCCCTCCTTTTTGTATTTTGGTGATACAGAATGTAAAATAGTTTTAGCAAGACAGCTTTCATAGTTGTTTTGAACATAAGGGTTACATATTGTAACATAGATACTTGAAGAACTAAATAGAAAAGGACCGCTCAACGGATATGATGAAGGCTACTTGAGAACTATAGTTGAAGATTTGTTTACATTTTAAACGACATAGTATGAGATCAATGGCCTTATGAAATACCATGGCTGAATGTCCCAGAGAACCAGAATTGTTCTTGTCTGAGATAAAAAGGTACGAAAATATGTTTCTGTTAATCCATTTACCTACAGGATCCTGTGATATTGGTTGTGGGTGAGAAGACCAGAGAAGAAGGCAGGAAAAGTATCAATGTGTAGTGAACTTGACAATCAAGAAGTGGCAGGAGGACCATGTCAGATGGAGAGGGGGCGGCACATGGCTTGTTGGCTGCTATTGCACCTGCAGTGGGAACCTTCCTGGACGAGTCCAGCAGAGAACATGCTATCTGCTGGTTTTTTTAGCATTTTTGTAAAATGATTTTGTACTAGTAGGATGTGAACTAGCACTTTACAGATGACATGTTAGCTAATAATACACCTCAAGGTCCTCTATAATAAAAAGGTCAAAGAGCTTTGACTGTGCCTTCTTGTGTTTTGGAGTTGTTTGTTGAGGTCTATAGGTGCATTAATTTTGGTATCTAAAATACACAAACTAAACAGCTTAAAAACAAATCAACTCATTTCCCTCCCTTTCTTTTTTATGCTCTTCTCCTCATTCTGTGTACACCCTCCATATTTAACCCTATGTCTTGTCCCCTAAGCCTGGCTATGTTTTGATGGTTCATTGTCTTGTGCTTCCTACTTTTTCATTATCTGTAGTGGGGGAGACAGAAGTGGAACAGGAAGGGTGGTGCTGAGCTTTGTAGGGGCCCAGAGCAGAGAATCCAGTTGCCAGAGTTTGAGAGGCCTTTGGTGTGGGAAGAAGGTGAAGCCATAACTCTGACTTGGGCATGATTTAGTAGAGAGGCCAATGGTACACTGAATTCACTGAAGATGTGTAGGGCTATAGGAAGGAATAACCAGAAGAAAGTAAGAAGAGAGAGATTCTGGCTCAGAACAGAAATAAGAACAGTATGTATAAGAGGTTGGACACATCAAACTTAGAAATGAGTTTTCTTAAATAATATGCACATGTGCCCTAGAGTTTCTCAATCCATCATTGTTATATGTCACTGAGACTATTAAACTTAAATATGAATCAGTGCCAGGCAGTAAATTTAAATGTAATCTACTACTTCCTGAAGAAAAGAGGGAGCGAAAGTAGAAAGGTTGGAGGTTCCCCAGAAAAGCAAGAGGAGTTCCCACCCAAGGGAGGAAGGAGAATTTGAAAGACAAATACATTTTATAGACAGGTTTACTGAGGGCTGGCCTGGTTCACTTTTAACTCAGCAGAGACAAATAAAAACTGCTTTTTCTTTATTTGGCAAAGAAATCATGGTTTTCGTATTTTTCCACTGAACTTTATCAAGGATTTAATGTTTGGAAAATTAGCGAATGGGGTTATAATATATACTGGCTTTTCTGTCTTTTGTTGGCTTATTTAAAAAAAAATCTCCAGTCTTCTTAAATTTTCTGAATTATAAACTTATAAAAAGTTAACTGCTGCCATATCAAGTGGTCTGTGGCAGAGCACCTCAGAAGACAAGTCCATGCCTTTGAGTTGTAGAGGAGAAGAGTACTGAATAGCCCATGGACTGCCAAAGAGCAGACAAGGTCTGTCTTGGAAAAAGTGCTCAGAGTGCTCCTTGGAGGCAGGGATGGTGACACTTCATCTCACACACTTTGGGTGTGTTGCTAGGAGAGGCTGTTCCTTGGAGAGGGACATTGTGATTGGAAAAGTGTAGGGACAGTGAATACGATGAGGAAGACTCTCAACCAAGTGATTTGACACAGTGACCACAGGAATGGCCTTGAGTATGTTAGAAATTGTAAGGAGGGCACAGCATAGTACGGGGTTCAGATCTATGCATAGGGTCACTGTCAATCGTACTTGACGGCACCTAACAATAATGTGGTAGAGCTGTAACCAGCTCCGTGGAGTTGACTGTGGCTCATGGTGACACCGTGTGTCAGAGCAGAACTGTCCTCCACAGGATTTACAGTGGTTGGTTTCCCTGGTTACTGACAGCGCTTAATTGTGCCACTGATGCACTCCGGACTATGCCACAAGGTTCTCAATTTGGAGATTGTGGGTCCCTGGTCATAGTGGAGGAGGGCAGAGCAAGAAGATGGTGTATGCATGGAATTTGAGGATCCGTATTTGACAATTGAGTTTCTTAATCAATGGAGTGAAAATGAAGCTACCATCATCTGGAAGCTCCCTGTACTTTTCATTGTTGTTGTTGTTGTTAGGTGCTGTTGAGTCGTAGATGACTCATAGCGACCCTATGAACGAAAGGCCTGAGCACTGTTTGTACATAGAGTTTTTGGAGGCAAGCCATTTTGGAAGTGGATGCCGCTCCTGCTTCCAGGCTTGTTTTAGTCGGGAAGCTCCAGCAAACACTGTCCACCATGGGTACCCATTACTACTGTCACAGTACTTTTCATTATTAATGAGGAATTTGCATTTTTTAAAAATGTTAGGAACCACTGAACTATATTTAACTTTTCTAGTCAAGGTAATGAACAAGCTTAATAACTTATGGAAATTCTTGATGTGGAAGATAGTTTCATGAGGCCTTGCTGCTACTTCTATGCCAGTTGGCCTGCAAAAGCAGTTAAAGGCCTGACAGTGAGGATAGGAGTTGTGTGGACCTGCTTGCTAGTGCTAGTTACTACCGTTTCCAATGCCCTTGCTTCACAGTTGGGCAGAAGAATTTGGTCTCAAAGGATTTAAATCATTGCTCCAGTTAGAACCAGCTCATGGCTCCATTGGGTTTCCAAGGCATGGGAGGAGACTTCTCCCTGCCTTCTATCTTTCTCAGAGTCGCTGATGGCTTCAAACTCCTCACTTCCGCTCGAACAGCACTTGGTTTAGCAGTGCACCTCCTTATGAACTATCCCACTACAGCACCCCCTTGACCTTCTGCAACAAGTGCTTCAGGTCCTCCTCACTTTCACCAAGCAAGGTTTTGTCATCTTCATAACGTAGGTTATGGATGAGTCTTTCTCGGATCCTGATGTCACATTCTTCCTAGAGGCCAGCTTCACGGATTCTTTGTTCAGCATGCAGGATTATATGGGTGCAGGGTATTTAGTTAACACTAATTCTTAACATGAAGAGCATGCTACTAAAGTTTTTATTGGTCTTTTTCCCATGCTAGCATACATTTTTACAGTGTTTTACAATTCACCATACATCTTTTATAGTGCTTTTACGGTTAGTTCTTCCTGAGCTAACGAAGGCAGACAAGGAAGTGGAGTCTGGAACAGGTGGGTTATGTTTGTAGAGAATCCCACAGTTAGTCAATGGCAGAGTTAGGAAGAACTTGGTGTTCTGATTTCAAGACCATTATACCATATTTTCTACATAGACCTGTCTCTAATTCTTTTAAGGCTGTTTTCCAGAGTTGATACCTTATCAGAGACTTTCAGAAACACATTTCCCTTCTCATCCAGTGTCTAGACTTTTGTACTCTGCTTTCTTTTCTGCTCTTAGACCCTCCCTTTCACTCAAGTCCCAGTTGGGCAGGTTTTTCTGTGGATCACCAAGATAGTCCATGAATGACCTCTTGAGATTGATGAAAGATATTTCTACCAGATTAAAAATCTCCACTTTTCTTAAATCCTGGGTGTATATATCCAGTATGGAGTCATATGGAGTCAGTAGAATGGTGCTCCATAGAGGTTTTTAAGAGCTGATTTTCCGAAGTGGATTGCCAGACATTGCTTCTAAGTTGCCTCAGGGTGTAGTCGAATCTCCAACCCTTGGGTTAGCAGTCAAGTATGTTAGGCATACATACCCAAAAGAAATCCATTACTATGGATGTGATTCTGACTCATAGGTGGGATAAATGGCCTCTTCTTGACTCCTAATTGAAAGGCTAGTGGTTCGAACCCAACTGTGGCACCACTAAGTGTAAGTATAGTGATTTGCTTCTGTAAAAATGATAGTGATCCTCTGTAACACGTGAAGTCACCATGACAGCTCCATGTACATCTGTTGTCACAGGGTTGATCCAGACTCAGAGCAACTCTGTAGGACATAGCAGGTTTGCTTGTTGAGTTTCTAAGGCTGTAAATCTACAAATGCAGACTGCCTCATTTTTCTCCTGCAGAGTAGCTGGTAGGATTGAAATGCCAGTCTTTAATTTAGCATGTTAGCAGTTTAACAATTTTATTCATGATTCTTTCAGCTTATATATACCCACACTTTCACAATTACTTGCTATGCACCAGAGAGCTGTACTGACTAAGGATGACAGAAGAAAAGCCGTTGCCTTTGAATTGTGGTGCTGGGGAAGAGTCTTGCACAGACCATGGACTACCAAGAAAACAAGTTGGTCTGTTTTGGAGAGGGTGAAACCGAGTTTCTCCTTGGAGGCTAGAATCTTGAAGCTCTGTGTCACATACTTTGAGCATGTGACCAGGAGGGAGCAATCCTTGGAGAAGGACATCATGCTCAGAAGGGTGGAGGGACAGCACAAGAGAGGAAGGCCCTGGTTGGGATAGATTGATACAGTAACTGGGACAATGCGGGCAGGTGTGTTGGAGTCAGTGAGTCTGGCTCAGGACGGGGCAGGGGTCAGAATCATTGTACATAGGGTCACTATAAGTTACAAGCAACTTGATGGCACATAACAACAACATACACCCATATAAAATCCACTGTAATCCAACCATATTTTTCTCCCATGAAGCAGCTGGTAAGTTCAAACTGCCA